ATGATGATGATGATGATGATGATGATGATGATGATGATGATGATGATGATGATAAAGCTTCTTCTGGTTTTCTTAATGATGCCGAAATCGTCAACGAAATGCTTATATATTTTGTGATCACACGTAGACCTAGGCCATTAATAGCAGTAGTAGGAGTACAAACACAGAGAGCGGAATTGGGCACTGCCAAAAACAGGTGGTCCAGAGTGTAGTCGTGTCCGTAGCCTGGAATCTTAAGTTCTCAAGTAACGCCGAACAAAAAGAAAAAAGCATATTGACCCGAAAATGAGCTGTGGTCAGTGCCCTTTCTATCACTGCCGATTGGGATTAGAAGGTCAATTAGTCTCCTGAAATTACTCACAGCAGGAAACATGTCTTCCCAGAATGGCATATTTTACTAATACAACGTTACTGCCAAACGCCAGACTAATATCGGCAGTTACATAATTTCTTTATGCGTTTAATTCGGCTGGTTCATAGTGTGTGATTTTTAAGCGTTATCCATGCTGCTATTGATTATATTTGATGCAAACACGTTGTATTCGATTGGTATGAAGCGATCGATCAGCGTGTACTTTTAGATCTTGGCTAAGAGGTTCAACGTTCTCGGTGGGGCTTATATGTTAACCTCGGCCAGTCCATAGAGTGGTGTGTGTAACCCTCTTTTGACGTGATATGTTTGTATCTCTCTCTCTCTTACATTTAATTTGGCTTTGTTTCGTTTTAGAAAGAGTGTTACAGAACCTGAAGCAAAAATAAGTAATAGTTCATATGAGTACCGAAGAATAAATGTATTACTCTAGAGTAACCCCCCCCCCCAAAAAAAAAAACAACCCAAAATAAAAGAAGGATGGACAAAAACGATATATGCTTGATAGGGGAAAAGGAACCAACGATCTAGCCAACCATCGACTAATGACAGTTTTAAAAGTTGGCGAATTACAGGTTTGAGCAAACAAAGACGCTTCAACAACACTCTCTTGTTTCAATAACACACCATGATTTCATAATACTACCTTCAACTTTATATACAGAGAATAATATCCACTCGCAGAGGCTGGTAAAGACTTTATGATGCTTTATGATGTGCGCAGCTGGTTTATTGTTAAACTGTTTTTGGCGGATGAGCTCGATTAGAATGATGTTTTCAAGACTCTTCACTTACTTGACTCTGTCTCGTCGGAGGTGGACGTTAAAATTGGACGTCTGTCCCCCAAAATAACCTTACAATGTTGAAAATGGCGTTAAACCCATAACACACTATACTGACGTTTCTTTCTAAATGAATGACTCGTACAAACGTGAATATTCTTCTTTTTAATGTAGGCGTTTTACAACCCCACTGCACACAGTTTGGATCACTTTGGAGCAAGCTTTGATCTTGCCTGTCAGGGCCAAGCTGGGCTGAGAGGGGATACAACATCCAAGCAGAAAGACCGAGATGCTAAATACAAATTCTCCCCTTATTGGAATCGTACTTGGGCCATCTGTTTGCGATGAGGACGCTCCTAGCATCATTATGGCAATGCGCAAAAAATCTTGGTCATTATACTCAACGATGACAAGGAAAAAAGGGCAGCAGCGGGCGTCAAAAGTGAAGGCGGTGCCCTTCGATCCGTGGACTGACTCCTCTAATACGCCTTTCACTGTGCGCACACACCGTATCTAATCACTTGGCATTTCAAGAAATTTCGATTAAGCACTTCTTTACACTTCTCTGCCTCGCATAAACGTTGTTCTTTCAACTTTGAGGCTTAAGGTATTTCAATTTCCTGTTGTTATTCCACCGCAGAAATGGTTGTGCATTGTCACGTTTTACAACCAGGGTCCCTCTTTCATTACCTGGGGATCATATCTAATAAGACTCTGGATACGTTTTTTTATTTCACTTTTTCAGGGGGTGGGGGAGGGGGGGGGGGTAGTCCTATGAAATTGTCAGCACATGTACTAGCTGGAAGATTGATGGATTAATAAAAGCCGAAATAGAACACGGGGGGGGGCGTCCTTTTCCTAAAGACGACCTGTTGAATGCTAACTCTTAATTTCGACTATTTTCTTTAGCACAGAACATGAAACCAAAGACGTAACTGTTTGGTCTCTGCACCGTTCTCGGCGTTTCTGCTGCTTCAGAAATCCACGCCGCGTGGACGCCAGCTTGTATTTTTCTCTGATCTGTATGAAGGCGCGGAGCGCACCGGTTTGTGACAATCAGAGCCAAATGGTACGAGTAAATACGGGAAAGCCGATCCTCGGTTAGACCAGTGGGAGCTAATCGCCTTAGGGTAGAATGATTCAAAACAAAAGGCAATATAATAGTGGGCCTGCCCCAAGGCTCATACGGTGAGAGGTGTATTATCGTGGTCGCCGTTCCCACAACAAGCAAGCAGTGCATTTTTTGATCGGCATAAACTGCCTCTGAGATATATTGATGAATGTGTGTCTACTTATTGTAAACAGGTGAGTGAGTGTGGGAAACATAAACATTTTTTTCCCCATTTGCGTCGATTTAAAGTCACACTGCCGGTATTTGGAAGGTGCGTATCCCCCCTCCTCTGTTGTTTCTGTCTATTTCTCTTGGTTTTTTTCCCTGAACTAAATTATCCGTACCGTGCCGATGTGCTTTTCTTTATCAAACAAACGAACGAACGCACGAACAAACAAACAATCAAGCAAACAAACAAACAAACAAACAAACAAATATACACAAAAAACAAAACAAACACGTTACATTCTGGGTGCTGGAAGTCAGAGCCACATCATTCCTTGCTTGTAGAACAAATCAGAGGAAACAGTAGTAACAAAAGCAAAGACAACACCAGTAAAGTAAATGGCAAACATCTACATGCAAGTAATGATATACTCACGATTTTTTCTTTACCAAGGAGTTGCATCTCAGGCTAATATGCCTTAAGGTCTATTTGATGCTCCCCGCCCAATACCACATGCACACATCCTACGCTACCAAGAAGTATGGGTTGGGATCGAGGTGAAACACCGATAGGTGGAGAGACAAACGGACCATCCCCTCCACCTCCCCCCCAAAAAAAAACCCAACAACCAACAACAACAAACAACACAACTAGAGGGGGGGGGGGCTGCAGCTGAGCTGAAAGTCCCGATTCGGCTCAAAACTATGGATGGATTTCAAGTTGTAGGCATTTTTAGCTTCTTCAGCCTCTCTTACAACTATTTCATCGCATAAGAACCCCGTATTTCTTCCCATACCAGGCATGTTTGTCACCACAATTTCCTCATAAGTCAATCTTTTATTTTTCTCCATCGCCCGTTTTCTCGAAACGTGGTTTTTCAATAAACCTTTTTGAATAACTTCACCATTATTCAAGCAATCTTCATGAAATTTTCACAGATTGAAGAAAAGATGTAGATCTAATACTAAAACTTTGAGTGAAGAATTTTTTATATGTTGGGTAGTTTTTCGTTGGTGGTGTTTGGAGTGTGGATTTTCTCTAATTTTTTGCAAGCGTGAATACTACCTCGGGACAAAATTCTTAAAAAAGGTTCTAGATCTAGGACGTTTACGAAAAATTAATCACACAGATTTGTAGATCTATGGTTTGCCAAGATGCATGCAGAAAACCCAAAAATTTATTTCCATGAAAAAATAAAGGTGGTATTAATTACGTAAGATGTGTCAACAAAATCCAATACGCCGCCGTATCCATGGAAACGAAACTGTTTTTCTCAGATTTGATTGCCGATTTTAAGACTCATTGTTATACAGTAGGTTCGACAGTAGTTTGATGGATGAATAGATAAATGGACGGCTATCCACAGATCCAGACCAGGTGATGTGTTTGAACAGACATACGGGGTGACAAGGGACAGATAATAATAATATAATAATAATAATAATAATAGTAATACTTATAATGATAATGATAATAATGATAATAATGGAATGATAGTAATAATAATAATAATAATAGTGATAAAATCTTAATGATAATAATGATAAAACTGATAGATTATACATGTATATATATATATATATATATATATATATATATATATATATATATATATATATGTATATATATATAGAGAGATAGATAGATAGATAGATAGATAGATAGATAGATAGATAGATAGATAGATAGATAGATAGATAGATAGATAGATAGATAAATAGCATGTATAGTGCAAATTCCCGCTCTGTGCGCTTTAAGTCTATAATTTTATTACCCCAACAGAGGCCTGGTAGCATTGTGAAACAATCTCAACTTCCCGGGAAGCATACTTTGCAAGCTGTCATTATAGGCGCTAAAACACTAACATGCTGAGATCTTTCGCTCTCTATGTCAGGGTACATATTCTCACTTGGGTAAAGTGACGACTATTTATGTAAAGTGCATTTCCCAAGGACACAAAGTCGTCCTGCAAAAGAGAAGAGCTGGAACAAATAAGAGCTCTGCTGCCCAAAAAGCAGACTTACACTTTATTAGTTTCAAGTTTAAAAAAACGTGTCAGTCTGTGAAAAGCACTTTATCATGATGCTCCCAGGAACGGTAGCGAAGTAAGCTTACATACATGGCCATGGGGTGAACTTTCCGCTTTAGACGTGACACGCTTTCTTACGGGGATTTCAAACTCTGTCGTGCGAAGAAAATGGAACCTCGTCCTTGTAATGAACTGTCTGGATGGAGAGAGGATTTTTTTACCTTATTTATTTTCTTTTGGCTGATCCCATTTCTCAGTCTGGATAATGTTATTCTTACTTTGTTCTGTCGATGACGCCCTCCCTCCCATCCAAGGTGCGTGCCAGTGCCCAAGAATGGTTTCTGATGGCGGGGTAATCAGTGAGAGTGTTCATCCGTAAGCCAATCACGAGATCAATCTCCATCTCAGTTGGAACGGTGAAAATAGTATGTCCTTGGGTTATTGCGATTCTCATTAATTGGGAACTGTTGAATTTTGTAGCAAAATATGAATTCAGATGGGTTTTTTTCCCCTTTTTTTGCACCGCGAGAACAAAACGTATTTACGATTAATAAAGCCACTGTATCTCGTTGGCGTGTATTCATCTTAGCAGAGAAGGTAATGTCAGTAGTTACGAGGGGCGGCCGGAAAATTAGGGGGGGTGGGGGGGGAGGGCGACTATATCTATTATTGTCAATAGGAGTAGTGATTGCGTTATGGAGAGAAAGACAAGATTCAGATGAAAAAGTTGAGTTGAAGTCGACTTGTTATGATAATCGTTTGTATTGTATATAATAGATTACCCAAGCCCAGGGCTTGTCGTTTACAGAGAGGTGATAAACAATAAGACTTACAGATATAAAATTAACATAGTTTGGTAGTTTGGATTCCGTGGCTTTTGGTAAAGGAAATGAACCTACCAATGAAACAAACTTTTCACTTCTTTTAGCTGTGTCGACGGGCTGGATATTCTGTATGTCTCACAGTACATCGGTCGTTGCGTCATTCTGCTAGAGATAAAAGTAAACATTTTCCCTTCCTCGGAATAAACTTGTCCTAGTACGCACATCTGGGACCTCCATTCTCCGTGTAACCACAAGAAGGTCACTTGGACGTTATTATTTTGAGAAGTCGCTTTTAACTTCTTTTAGAAATGGCGGATAGTGGAGGGGGTAAAAAATATTTTAAACTGGTCTTTCTATGATCAACCTTTGGCAAAACGTCAACACTATCGACTGACTTATAAAAATAATACAGAAAAATTCCTCCCTACGAAGCATGCACCTTCACTGAAATAGATTGTGTGACGGATGTCGAGGTGACCATGTGATCTAACGGGAAGCGCATTGATTGCACGTGTTTTACCCCCCCCCCCCTCCACCCCTCACCCCCACCCGTGCGAGATGAGAGAAATCTTTCCTTCAGAAAGACAAGAGATGTTCGATAATAATAGACTTTCCCACGCGTGTTTGATGTGCGTTACAAAGAAGCAACTCATTACAGCTCAGACGATAGGGAAATACAAGGTCACGACATGATGATGGTGATCTATGATGATGATGATGATGAGGATGATGATGATGATGATGATCATCATCATCATCATCATCATTGTAGACTACAAAAAGATTTTTAAAAAGATTTTATATGTTCAGTCTTTCACCGCCTTATGGGTTTATCATCATAGTTTACAACCATCGCTGGCGGTGTATATTATCATTGTGATGTTATAAATACCATTCTGATAACTATCCCTGAACATATTATGTTTCATAGGAAAAATTTCAGAATATTATTTTTTTATAAAAATAAATGCAACTGTAAAAAAAAATGCCATCTACCATTTACAAAACTAACCCAACCCTAACTTTGGGTTGACGGCAGCTGGCATATCTTGTGCACAACGTTATACTATTCAGATGGCCTCCTTTGATAAGATTGAGCCTGGGGGGGGGGGGGGGGGGGTCGAGACAGCCGCTTTATTACTGATGAAAGGGTTGGTAGAAATGATCTTGCCTGCGGCAGGCAGAAGAAATCAACACAGATGAAAGTAAACAGCAAACTGAGAATGCGATCATATTGAACATTAGTAACAATGAACCTGGAAAAATTGAAAAAGAGAAAGAGGGTAAAGATTATGTTCTCGTTGATGTTACGACAACATTATAACTGAAGTGAAATCTAGCTTACAAGTAAAGGATCATAATGCATTATGAAAAGTTTACTCCTATCTATCTATCTATCTATCTATCTGTCTGTCTATCTATCTATCTATCTATCTATCTATCTATCTATCTATCTATCTATCTATCTATTTATCTATCAATAACGCACATGCCGAGGTGCGCGCGCACATGCACATACACCTATACACACAAAGACACACACAAAGGCACACATGTACACAAACACACGCACACACAAAAACACACACACACGCACAATCTGCCTTTCTCTCACTCACACATAAAAGAAACATACACGTACACACTCTATTTCTGACGCCTACACACACGTTCTCTTTCTTTCTTTCTCTATCATTCTCTCTTTCAACGCCCCCCTCTCTCTTTCTCTCTCTGTCTATCAAACACACACACACACACACACACACACACACACACACACACACACACACACACACACACAAACACATACCCCCACACACACCCATACACACACACATGCACACACATGCACACACACACGCACGCGCGCGCAAACTTACTCACACACACACACACACATACACATACACACACACACACACACACACACACACACGAGCACGCGCACGTGCGTGCTCACAGACTAATTAATTCATGTTAGAAAAAACAACAACTCAGATCTGCCAGTTCCCTTTTACTTTCATGGATTATTCTTCGATACGGAAAAACCGAATAATTGGAGCAATAGTTTTTCTCTTGAAAGGCACACTGGAGTGAATTTGTTTTTGCAACTTTTGCAAAAGTATGCACTATTTGACTTCATAGATCATCATATTGTTAGAGACCATTTACCAGTCTGTTTTTCATCGAAGCTGGATTATCAATAATGTACACATAATTCTTCCCACCAACCATTAACGGAACAGGCTGTTCTGAAAAGCGAGTAGCCTTTGTGTCTAATTGCGCGTGGAGAATGCTCTTGCCTTAGCACCGCCTCACTGTTTTGACAATACACGCGCAACCACTGGCAACGCGACAAGCACGGGGCTGTGCGTGGGACGGAGTCAAGAGTGAGCACCATCGATATCGCTCACTTTCAGGTGTGGAAACAGATCACGGCGTGGACGGCGTTGTGAGCAGTGTGAATAGATCGGAGACTTCTGTGGATTAACTTCAGAGAAAGCTCAGAGCTCATGTATTTTTTTGGTAAGATCCAGTTGTGAAAAACAGACAGATCAGCGCTGAGGATCGAAGGGTTAGTTAAGAGTAGATCTGTAAGTTATGTTTATAACATTTTAAGTATTATATTTACATCCCATGCCAATGTTTCACGCTTTGTTTACCTCGGAAGGATTCACTTGTTTCTACCAGCTCTGAAATAATTTTACAGTGCTTCAAGGGCTATTAGAGCTATACAGTTTTGCACAGTTCTGCTCTAGTTTCTACACTCTCTGCTTTGTCATTTTATACACGCAGTGATAGTGTAGCTTTAAAAAATGAAACAAATCAATGTGTTTATGGCATCCGGATATTGTACAATCTCAACAAATTCATTCGTAATTTTTTTATTTTAAAAGTATTTATTTTTGTTTAATATTTTACTAACACTGCGGTAGCCAAAATAAAAAAAGTAAAACGTGTTCCTAGTCTCTGCTTGTTGTTGCTTTGTCGCCAATCGTTTAAAGGCATTACAATAAATATAAATTATGCACTCCCTGACTCTCTGCTGTCTGTTTAGATGTGTATGTTCACACACACGCGCAAATGCACACCTACACACATACAAGCATACATACCCGCACGTACGCACACGCACTCGCACACTGACACACACACAGGCACACACACAGGCTCACACACACACATACACACACACACACACGCACACACACACACACACACACACACACACACACACAGGGGCGCGCGCGCACCGGCGCATGCATACTTGCTTGCATACATACGCAAACCTCATTTTCACGCATGTGTTTATAGTCACACTATGAAAAGTGAATATTATGCTACTACCACATTCAGGGAAGAGTTGTCTTTAGATATGAGAACTTCAGGGAAACTTTTGTCAGGATCCACAATAAAACTAGGCTGGTCCCTAATCCTTTGGTCAAAGTCGCAATATATTATACTGTCATAAATCTATTTATTGTGCCAAACCTCTCCCTATTGGTGGTTGATGAGTGCTCTGTTGTGGTTTGCCCCTTCCTTCCAAGGAAATAATACCTATCGTCATTCGTCCTTTCTCCTCCCTCTTTTCTTTGTATGAAACACCTCTAACCTTGGGCTCTTATATGACCTATTTGTGCAGCAAGTGCGTGAAACTAAATAAACACAAACCTTTCCTTTTCCATTTTCACGGTTTGGATTGTGAGTTAGAGACGAATGACTGTCTACCTAAATTTAAGTTGTACCACCCTGTTTGTTCTCTCTCTCTTTCCCTCTCTCCCCCCCCCTCTCTCTCCCCCCTCTCTCTCTCTATCCATCTCTCTTTCTCTCTCTCTCTTTCTCCCTCTCTCTCTTTCTATATCTCTCTCTTTCCCCCTCGCTCTCTCCGCCTCTCTCTTTCTTTTGTTCTATCAGCCTCGCCTCTCTCTCTCTCTATTTATACCGTATGCGTGAAATAACATATCATAAAACACACACACACACACACACACACACACACACACACACACACACACACACACTCACTCACACACACACACACACACACACAAGAGAGAAACACCTTATATTTTCATATGTCCTTTCGTTATTAGAGAGAGACAAGAAATATTGCGGTTATTCTGTACACTTGCGAGGAAGTTTTCAAAACTATCATATCTTTTATCAAAGTCGTTTTTCTTTTGTATGACTTATTTTCATTTGATTTACAGAAATTGTTCAGTGTCATGCATCGTTCCAATATTTGATTATGTAGAACCGATGTGTCCGTTCTTTAACAAAAGCTTTTTGTTTGAGGAAAAGCCAACTATTCACGACATTTAACTATGTTCCCTTTCCCCAGGAACCAGACTCAGCAGAGAGGACTAGACTTATAAACAGTTCTTCTGTCGATGTAAACTGTTTTGCAGTCTCACTGCATCTGACGTTGGATTCAGCGGTTCTTGAGCAGAACACACCTACAAAACAGATCTCTGCGTCTCTGAGCGTAGAGAACACAACATTTTAAACAACAACGTGTGGAAGTTGCCCACGTAGGCTCTTATCAACAGGTGTCAAAATTGTAGTTTATTAATTTGAGGAAAAACTCACAGGGCATTCTTGCAGTTGTTGTGCACAAAGTGATTTCTTGTGCAGGCACATGTGCTAGTGAAATAAGGACTCATCGGGGCCAAACAAGAAGCCACTTGTGTTTTCATTGGTATAGCGATTCTGATAATGTTGTTACGCTCGGAGCTGAAGGAGTATGGAGTTTATCTATGACAATAAGTCTTATTTGGAGGATTATATTACACAACAAGAACCGAGTTAGTACTGTTCTTTTCAGAATATCATCCAACAACAAAGAGCTAGTGCTGTTGCTGTGTGAGGAGACAGTTTTTCTTGAATGTTTTTTCTCTTAGAGAACATACAAGTATGGCATTCTCAGAGTTACCTTCAGGATAAAACAAGTCATCCATTTTCAAAAGTGTAGTTCCCTCGTTTAATCGTGTGTATACTGTTCTTATATGAAAGAAAAAATCAAATGATTTAAAACTTATTTGGCAAACTTGTATTTACGTAAATAAGGCAACATTTCTAGTTATCTAAATCAAAGCTGCTAAAACGTTCCTATAGGGGACCGGGATTCAGAGCCAGTCGGTTATTCGAAAGAAGAAAAATATTTACTCAACCCCGTTCCGTTTTTCATATCGATTACGGTAACCACAGACAAACAATAAACAATAAAAACGCTGTCATACAGTAATCAAAGGCTTCTCCTTCTTCTGCCAGTCTTATAGCCCTTTGAAAAACTATTTGTTTAACATCACTACTAACACCAACACCATTTCACTTTAAACTACAATCGACTGAGATCAAAACAGGAAGATGGCTACGATAGACCTTGACAACTACTTGTGCTCGGACAAGGGCCTTCTCATGCCCATAATCAACGAGTACACCTGGGAAACAGGAGTCAGAGCGTTCTTCTACTTTCTGGGCATGGTCTGGTGCTTTTTGGGAGTGGCCATCGTGTCGGATTCCTTCATGTGCGGCATCGAGCACATCACTAGCAAAACTCGGACTATCTCCATACCAGACGCTAAGGGGGAAGGGCTAAAGAAAATAGAAGTCAAGGTTAGTGTATGTTAACTGCTTTATTTGTACTGTTGTTGTTATTGATAATGAGTAGTAGCATTATCATCCTTAGTAGTAGTAGTAGTAGTAGTAGTAGTAGTAGTAGTAGTAGTAGTAGTAGTAATAGTAGTAGTAGTAGTTGTAGTAGCAGCAGCAGCAGCAGCAGCAACAGAATGTGTTTCTGTCTTGTTGAACTTTAAATTAATGTTTTTTCGGAAGCATGGTTCATGGTTGTGACATTTACCAAGCGTCATTGGAAGTTAAATCCTTCCAATGACCTTTCATAGTCCCACGGCACATTATTGACCTTCAGCGCTAGTAAAAAGCCCAAAAGACTACCCCATGCCGTACAACTAAGCACAGGGAGTGCTTTTTAATTTTGTACACATCACATTCTCTAGATTATTTTGAGAAAAAGTTAGTTTTTTGATAGGACCAGTAGTGATTCTGTTTTTGGACATCCCATTGACACAACAAAGGCTAATATATATATATATATATATATATATATATATATATATATATATATATATATATATATATATATATATATATATATATATATATATATATATATGAATATATATATATGAATATATATATTATATACCTATACGTTTTCGTTTAACAGAATTCCAAGAACCTCATGTTCTGTCACAGAATGCAGAAAATGAGTGGCAAGAGCACGACAAAGTATGTCAGTTACTTTCTTTCTACCCCCCTTTGAACTCCTGTGAACGCAGGAATTCTAACCAGCGTCATAATCATAGAAAGGCTATGCTTATGACTTACCCAGAAAAGAACGTCTATTGGCGTCGCTGCCTGCTTTGGATCTACAACATCTACCAATTTTAGACAATGGATTGCGGTGGTCTGCAATGTCTGGTGTTGTAAGGGTTAAAGTAAAGTAAATTTTGTGTTTGCAATAATGTTATAATCAAAAATACATCAATGGTAATGATCGCGTTTTTCCTGAAACGCCAGCACGCAAAGTTACAAGGCTATTATCAATAAATGTCACGTTTACAATTGCTAGTTTACTTCTTTTTCCATACTATACGAAATCAAGAGGATTTCGTTTTTAAACGCAATAAATCTATTGTCAATGATCAGGCTATTCATCCTTCGCCACTCTGATTATTTTACATTTATACCCATGTGCATCCATAATCAAGCACAAAGTAAAATACGCTAAATGAAAACTGGGGGTCAGGTGCTATGAGTATTGTTTATCGATATCAGCCAACTCCCTATGGGCGATCCATCAGTGCCAACTACTTAGTCAGTTTATGGATCACCTCAGATTGGCTCAAATGTCGTAGCAACACGCCCTTCACTCAAGGGATTCCAAACTGAAAAGAAACAGAATTAAAACGAACCTGTATGAAAATAGCAGGTGCAAAAACACAATTGTGAGCCATTCCCAGAGAATTAGTACTGTTGAATAAACATGAGGCTGACAAAAAAGAGAAAGACCAGAGGAAAGTAGTACAAGAAAACAAAAGTGTATGCCTATCTAGGCAATATTGAAAGCCAAATATAAAAAAACCCCAACAAACTAAAAACAACAACCACCCCTCCCAAACAAGCAAACAAACAAACAAACACTAACAAACAAAACAAAACAAAACAAAACAAAACAAAACAAAAGCCGAAAGAATTCTATTGACCTAATAGCAGTTCACGTTCGACGATAAAGCGTTAGCTTTTCGTTGTTGACCTTTCGTTGACGGTGGTGTTCAACTACAATTGGAACCAAAAATTGTGCGTTTTCCACCCAGAGGGGATGATGTAATGATTGGGAAATCCATATTGATTGACAGGTATTTCTGCGACTGACTTCTGCTGTTCTTCTCTGTGTTTGTGCTGTTAATTAATCTCCGAGGACTGTGTACTGTGTCTGGTAGCTCTCCACTTTTAACAACTGCACATCATGCCCTCAAACGCCAACCTCCCCCCACTTGTTCCGTCTCAGCCTGCTTTTGTTTTGTGTTTGTTTTTAGGTAAATGTTTGTTTTAGTAAACGTTTTATGGCACATACAACACAATTAAGTCATACAAGTACCAAAAATTAGAGGTGTTAAAAGAGAGCAATAAAAAATAAAAATAAGAAGAGGAGATAAGGACGATACAGTCATGTTTAATTGAAAAGAAGGAGCAAACCACACCAAAACACCCGTCAACCACCCGCTTCTCAGATCTCAGTCAGCGCTGATAGTTAAACTGTTTTAGTGCTGCATGACGGAGTGGATGACCTTTGTTCAAATCCTCAACTACAGGTAAAATCTTGAACATTCGTGGTTATTTAATCTGGAGATAAAGGCATCACTATAAAGAATAGTTTTATAATAAAATTGTTAGAATCTTACCACTGCCAGAGATAAAATTTAAGGTCTTTGATATTAGTTCAGTATCTTATTAATTATTCTAATTATGTTCGTCCCGTGTCTTTTCTTTGCTTCTTTTTCTTCATATCAAAGTGTGATTTCTCCGTTAGAATTCGTGGCCCATTTATTGATTTCTTTATTGCAGATTTTTCTCCTCTGTCATTCTTTAAAAAGTTCTTCTGTCTGTTCTGATCATCTGTAAAATATCACCGTCTGTTGCGGTTATACAGCTTGTATTTCAGCATCCTTTCTTCCCGTCTTAATTCTTTGATTTTCGAAAGCATGTGTACACAATTGCTACTTCTTTTTTGGTTCGTTTTTTTTTTTCTTTTCACATTGATTGTTAACTTCTGTATCTTTTGCTTCATTACACGATTTCTTTATTTCCTTAAACAAAAAGTATGTGTATACTTCTTCTTTTCTCCTTTTTATCTCCCCCTCTCTCCTCCTCCTCCTCCCCCTCCTCCTCCTCCTCCTCCTCCTCTTCTTCTTCTTTTTCTTCTCTGTCTGCCTATCTGTCTGTCTGTCTGTCTGTCTGTCTGTCTGTTTGTCTGTCCCTGTCTCTGGTGGGTGGTTGGAGGGCGCTACTGGCTGGTCCTACTTCTTAACTTTCCCTTCGTTGTTTCTGTCTGTCTGTCTTACTTTTTTCCCAGCACTAAATGACCATTATTGTGTCGATGTGCTTCTCTTTACTCAAACAAACAAACAAACAAACAAGGAAACAAACCAACAAACAAGCACCTGTTGACCTGAAATGTTGTTAGCATGATCTTATCGTATACACTAAATCAGGTCGCATTTCCCTATCAAACTTTATGTTTGATGTGAATAGACATTAACACCTCTGAAGCGGTGCGTCATTAAATTTGAACTACACGTATTTGAAGAATTTTACGCCTCTTGCAACACAAATCGACCTTAAAAGGGGCGAAGATTAGAGCTGTTTAAGCGCTATATTTTTATAGAGAGAGGTACTTACAAAGAAAAGAAGGGAGAGAGAATGATGAGGAAGACCATTATTATGTCTGATAGAAGGAAAAAGGAACAAACCACATACAAGCGCCGTGGGTGGTTGGTGGGTGCTCTAGTGTAGTTTTGCTTGTTCTTCTTTCCTATCAAACGTCTATCGTCCTTATCTCCCCTTCTTCTTTTTGTATGTTTGTTACTCCCTTGTAACACCTCTAATCTTCTGGCTCTCATATCATGGCCTTATGCTGCAGTTGCGAGCGCCGTAAAACCTCTACTAAAACTATTTTAACATCTTCACTGCTGCGTGGATGTATGCACTGGTTTGTGTCTTTCAAAATTAGTTCTTTGCCATTTGTATACTAGTTTATAAGGGAAGTGTTTGGAGATATTACAGTAACAACGTGTGCTTTTGGTTACTTTTTGAATAAATCTATGTGGAAAATCTCTCTTGAAGGATTTTTATCTTGTCTGTACAAATTTTAATGTGGATGAATACATTTCACAATTTCAGCAGTGAGGGGGTTAAAAAAACCATCAGAGCGCCCGCCAACCACCCACCCACCCGCCTCCCCTCAGATAGATCTTGACTGAGATACTGTGAGATCTGTATACGCCTGTGCTCACTCACGAGTCCGCGAGATATTGAAGGGGGCAATAAAGTGCTTCATAATGTATGATTCTTGTCGATGAGCTCCGCTATAAATCTATATCATGGCCTCGTTTCCTATATAGATCTACATGTAGGTTTGGTCTGGTCGATATTGGAAATGTGTGTGTGTTTGTGTGTTTGGG